GGCCATCGAGTAGATAGAGGCAGTTGTCGAAAAAATACAAATTGACATACAATTCCACCAGAATTGAAGAAAACGATAAAATTGATGATTAAATGATATGAATGAAATTGATCGATAGAATTTCAAATGAAGAACATTGGTGAACATAGTTAAGATATATGAAAAAAGATGTGTTCGCTTATTCATTCTTATTTCATCATCATGGTCTTGTCTACCGCTTACAGATCGCATTAGTGCTCGATTTTTGAAGATATTAACTAGAGAGAGGATTCACCTGAAACGAAATAATTTTTTTTTTATTTTAACACTAATGCTTATAGTGCTATTGGTCAGAAAAAAAGATATCCATAACTTAAGTTCCGAATTATCTTCGTCGTATGAATAAATGTAAGTTATTCTCTTTCTGTAGTAAAAGTAAAATTGATGGCTGATTATATTCCAGAACATTTATGATCGAAATTTTTTTATTAATAAACAACATGGGAAAGACTTTTTTTTCCTAAATTCTTTTCCGTACAGTTTAATAAAGGTGAGTTAATATCTTTTTATGAGTTGATGATCAAAAGAATTAGAGTTAGATATCTTATCGGTTAAATGCAGTCCAGGTTCTTCGTGTATGATAAAAATATCAAGTTGGCTTAAACTGAGACAGTCAACAGCAAGGAGAATACGTTCTATTGGCGCTGATTCGAGTTTGAATCGATTAATTTTATGGTGGATTTTAGGCAATATTTACAAACAAAATCAATCAAGTAATTTATCAGGTAGCCAGGAATGTTTAAGGCATGGGCCGCCTCCCAGCTAAATTATCTTGAGGAGTTGAAAATAGGTAATTAGAATTTAACTCGCTTACAATTTTTAAAACTCATTGTCATCACAAAAACTCATGTCTATTGAAAAGAAGTTCATTACTCTCAACTAAGGAGCGAACTTGTTCGCTTTTTTATACTGTTTCACAAATATGCTCTTCAACTTTCAAATATTTGAAAATATTATGTCAAAAAGAATCAATAAGCATACATAGAACCATTAGCAAATTTAGGTGAACTAATGAGTATTTTGACAAGAAACGCCATTGAATATCATCATTGCGATTATCGGTTGATATAGAAAACATGATTAGTTGATCTTTCTGGATCACCTGCTTAGATCACAACATGATACGATTTTAAAAAAATGATACCACTTAGACCTTTGTACATGCATGTGTATCAAAAGTTTTTCGACATTTGGCAATTGGTAGTATTTCAGAAAAAACTATGGACAATTACTTTTGAAATTTGAGTAACTGTCCAATTGTCGTACCCTTACCTAAGCTATTGGTCAGTGTTATCTATCTACTATGTTTTTTTTTATCAGTACCATCGTCAGTTTGTATGGTAGCACCTTGTATAGTTTCAGACTTTTCTTGTCGTCTTATTCACTTACTATGATTATATAATCAACCCCGTTAACCTCCGTAAATAGTCACGTGATCAGTTGAGTTAACCTCTTCTCCTAAGTGATCACATGACTTCCTAATGACCCCTATCTCCTATGCCTTCTTTACCACCTATATTTGTTTCACAGACTATGCTGGTACTTAATTGAGTTTCCATGGAAATCCTGAAAATGCATCATCTCGTGTGTTTCAAAAATAATATCTGTTTCGAAGAAGTGTAGACACGCTTCTACAGCATCTGGATTATTAGTAAATAGGTAATCAGTTAAAGCATTTTATTACTTTTCTTTTCATGTAATTATTATGTTTTTGAAAATACGGAACTCATCAATCGTCAAAATAATCTTTAATAGCATTTTGTTTCACTACTTTCAAATCCAGATAAATATCAGTTGATTGTGATTCAAAACCAAAGATGAGAGTATGTAGCTGATACTGTTGAGGAGACGCAAAAACGTGCAGCTTTCTCATCCTTTTTAATACTTCAAATAGAGTCGACGGTATTTTAGTTATGGATATACTTTCTTCCTTTTCTTTTTCCTATTTTTCATCAACCTGAACCGAATCCTTCAGGTATTAATAATGATTTCATTTGTTGAAAGCAAAAATAGAAGAATCGATGTTGATGAATTCAGCAGCTATCAACTGGTGACCGCTAATTCGAACATTAGTCAAGAGAAAATGATTTCATGGTGTAAATACATTACAACATAATTCAAAATTTCTCTATCTTATTGAAGAGACTTATTTCAACAATCTATCAGAGTCCACTAAGCTTAACAAACGTCTAACACTATTAACAAAGGTATGGGTGTACCCACACTGTCATCCTTACTCTGATAGACCCTACCGTAACTGTTGATACAAATGAATAAAAACGGAATTATTTTACAATTCACTTTTTTTGAATTAATTTCCAAATTCATTAGCATCATCCCAATGAATGATTTAGGACAGGTTGCTTCTTTCTTTGTTGCTTCTTGTAATAACAATTTACGACAAAGATCTCAATTAAGGTGAAATTTATTACAAAACCAATCTATCAACGTATCATAATGAAAATACCGAAAATAGTCAATATTTCAATTGATATTATAATTTTCACACAGAATATTAATCATTTGTTAGCTTTGATCAAATTCAAGAGGGTATAGTCATTGTTTTTATATTACAGCATTCATTATATGAGAAAAAATTCTTTTTTTGAAAAGGAAGGATAAAACTTTATTTATATCATTGAGTAAATGAGATAATATAATTGTTCAAAGAAATGATTTTACTTATGCTCTTCTCCCTTCTTCTCACAAATTTGATCTTTATCATTTTATCTGAACATTTTGCAATATCATCAATGATACACTACCAATTCCGAAATGAATAATTTTAAAAATATCTTCTCTCATCCTTGAATCATTACCACACAAAACAAAATGAAACATATTAAATTATACACTACGTCTTGCATCTATTACAATCAAGGTATGTTTGAATCGATCAACCGAAGAAAAATACAAAAAATAACATGGCTGTCAAAAGAAAGCTCTCAAAAGAAAAATTGACGTTCTTATCATTTAATTGTCAATTACGAATGAGATATACAAAAGAAGAACATCATATAAACACTCGTACTACATATCTACAAAATCAAAAAAGAGTATGATGCATTAGACACTGACCTTGTCGATAGAGCGTGTCTATAGAAATTCAAAAGCAATAGTAATGTTAATTTGACAGTAAAAGATTTTTATCGTAAATGTTTACTATGTCTATGCAAGATTTTTTTGATATTCTAAAATGTAATAGCATGAAAATACGTTTTTAAGAGAAATGAATTATGTAAGTCAATAGAAGTGTTAGCAATAATAGCTATAATGCTATCATAATGACTAGCACTGTTAGTTTTATTGATTTTTACATTTGGCTTGTATCGATAGAAGAAAAAAACCTGTTGAAATGCCAATTTTAAATTTTTTTTTTAAAGTATAGGAAAAAGTATATAAGATATCTGTTTTTGAAGGGTAAGTCACAGTTTAATGGCAACCATAGTCTCCACAACATTTCAAAGAAACTTAACTCAAAGGAATCAATAAATATGAAAATAATACAGATTGAGTCGTATGTATATTTGAGTATTAGAAAGTAGGTCCAACCAAACTGAATCCGATTCTGGTCAAGATTTGACGACATGTGTTTATTAATTTACAACACAATAACATTTTCTATGATTTCAAACATATTTTTCATCACAATGACTTTTACGGAAAAAATGTTGGAGTTTTTTTGCTATGTTTTGTACTAATATAATTAATACTAAGAAAATTATGCATTGATCAAAAACAGTAAAGTAAATAAAATACCATCATTTAACATTCTTAAGAATAATTTCTATCAAAGAAAATCTATCCAAGTGAATTTTTTTTCGAGCATGCTATTGATTGTCTTCATCTTTTTTATTATAAAAAATAATAAATTTTAATATATCTTTAAACTATGCTAATAGATTAAAAAGTGGGAGATAGAATTTTGGTACAAGGAATTTTTGAACTGGATTTTCAGTCCAATCCAAAGTTCCAGAAACTTTTAGATTCGAGCCTAAAAGTTACTATCACTTCCGACTGGGCCGAATTTTGCCTCATTATTCTTCATATAGAGCCTTATTTATAAAATTAGTTGGTACATTTCATAGTACCCAGTACTATGTCATTCGGCTGAGCATTACTTTCATTTGGGTTTAATTTCGGAGGGAAAGAAATTCAAGGAGGAAGTTTTCTAAACACAGAGAGAAAGTATTTAAAAATAAAAAAGCTTTTTTCTTTTTTGAAAGATCCACAAAAAAAATTGGAAAACTCATTATATAACATTCAAGAAAAAACTTTCAGAGAAAAAAGCTAGAAGCAAGAGAAAATTTAGCAGAGATCGATCTGTTGTTTCTCCTTTCTGATCGTATGATATGCTGCTGAGCACGACGGAGTATACCAGCTATTCTTATAAATAAGACTCTTTGATGTAGATTAATGAAGTAAACTTAAATTTAACTGGTCCGAAAATTTCTTAGGTCTATTATATTCCTGTAACCCTAAAAACCGGCTATGTATTGTAATTGATCTTTTCATCACAACAGAATCACTCTGGATAACTATTTACGTATTCATGTAAAAATATAAGCAAAAAATAAGACTAAAATGCATTACGATTCGATCAAAATCATGTAGTTTTAATTTATTATTAACAGACTAAGAATCAGTTATTATCAAAAAAATAATCGTGAATATTAAAATTCCATTGATTATTTTGATCAGTTTCGGTTATAATTATCGTTTTACATTAACAATAGTCGTTTTCTTTTTATAAATATTGAATCTTTTATAATCAAAATTCATCAAAATAATTAGCGGATTTTCGATTTTTCGATTACTTTTTGGTTTCAACTGATTCCAAATCGATAAATAATCGTGATTAAAGGTTTATTATTTTAATCGATTTTAATCTAAGTGTTCTCTTAATTGTTTTTTTTTTACGTGCGATAGTCTCAAAAAAGATGAAAATAGCGCCAATGTATTCACAAAGCTGTAGGATCAGTTGTATAAGGATGTTGGGCGAGCCAATGATGAGATTCTCGTCGATCAGGATCTTGTTGTAGACAATGATTTAATACATCGTTGACATGAGGTGAAGATGTTGGACGCATATTAGATGGAGGATGAAATGAAGATGTTATGGGTGCTACTCCATAAGTCATATTGTATAGAATAGCTCCTGCTGACCATATATCAGCTTTTGATGTGATACGTACACCTCGCGACCAGCACTCGGGCGCACTAAAATAATGAGTACCACCAATGGGGTTTGCACTTGGACCAGATCTATATGTACAAACATATATATATATGTCAACAAAAAAGATTCGAAAAACAATGAATCGAACCCTATGACTTCCTTTTGTGCAATACCCAAATCGACAATTTTCATGATTGGACCAAAAAAAACTAAGTTGTCTGGTTTCATATCACAATGAACCTATAAGTTATATGATTTATTTTCTTTTAATAATTTGTATTTAGATTTACTCACAACACGATGTCGATGTAATGTTTGTACAACATTGAATAATTGTTTCCATATATTTTTTCTTTCGCGTGGTGGAATATAATCACCTATCATTTTCAACATACCATCCATTCTACGATATTCTCTTTTCATATCTTTTATATCATGGAGTTGTTGAATTCGTCGACTCAGTGAATCTCCACCTAATTCCATAGCCATCAATGCTAGACCTCTGTGCATATCAAAATCAAATCCATAAATAGTTACTACATGACGTGTTGCTAGACGCATCTTATAAGCTATTGCGACCTCTTTTTGGAATGATTGTGCTAGTGAATTAGGATCAACAACACCCTCACGTTTTCTTCCACTAATATCAATTGCCTTAACGGCAGCACGATGGCCTACATATTCAAAAGGAATAAAATTTAATCTTTCTGCTTTGAAATGTAGCATGTTGAGCTGAAATGAAGACTTAATATTTACCGTCTGGTGTGACAGCAGACCATACAGATCCAAAACCGCCTCCACCTAGTCGATCAAGTAGTTTGTATCTCTTGTTTTGAATAGTGACTGTCTGATGCCGTAAGGAAAGATCAGGTTTGTTCGGACCAATAGCATCCACACAATATACATATACATTTTGTTAGGTAAAATTGAATGCAAATGAATACTTACTTGATATAAGCAAGCTCAATCTACTACCCATAATTTCTTGTTATACAATGGTAACTATTGTCGTTGAAAGAATAAAATTACCTTTAAAATAAATGGAGGATGTGATGTTATGTTTGATCAAGCAAGGACGAAAATGCAAACTTAATTCGTTGTTTTTAGTCAATAAATGAAATTTGTCTCTTTAATATCACATATGCAAGGGAAAGTGAGGTAAATTGCGGAAAAAACGGTCATTAAAACAATTTACCATGTATGCTGCACTCATGAGAGTGTTGGTATGCATCACTTTGTCTTTTTTTTCATCATCATGTCAATATTTGGTGGTAGCATAGAAAATTGAGTATAAATAGAAAAAAAAACCTAGATGATAAGACGTCAATTAAGATTACATTCGATCCGATCACTTTAATTCATATATTAAGAGAAATTGGAGCCTTTATGATTTGATTGTGAAGGACATAGTTGAATTGAATGATTGTTAATTGTCTATACTATATTAATCTCTTTGTAGAAAATCAATGATATGTCACGTTCTGTTGGTGTAGCGGTTATCACATCTGCTTAACACGCAGAAGGTCGCAGGTTCGACACCTGCACAGAACAGTCTTATTTTTTGATTCATAATAATTACTTTTTTTTCTCTGATGTTTGCTTAATAAATAATATTTGACAGAGAAAATAAGAATAACATCTGCTATTGACTATTGATTTTAGTTTTAGCTTTCAAAATTGATCCCATATTATAACCGTCCAATGAATAAATTTTCAAGTTTTATATTCGGATTGATACAATCAGAAATAGATGGTTAAAACTCATCACATCAATAGTGGTTCTGTTGGTGTAGCGGTTATCACATCTGCTTAACACGCAGAAGGTCGCAGGTTCGACACCTGCACAGAACACTCNAAGAATAATGTAGGTCGACAATTCATTATGGCAACGAAACGACAAGGTGGACTTGTTAATCATAATATTCCTTGTCTTATTTATTTACAATCTGATCGTCAAATTATTTGGATTCCAAGTGAAACAAAAACTCAACGAATAATGAATAATGAAGTAATTCACATATTAGAACGAGACGCTTTTCATATACACTCAGAGATCGTATATCAATGTCTGTCACGGTTTGTGACGCGCGGAGGAGTGTTGCCAACAAGGAAAATCTTCCACCTGACAAAATACTTTTTAGTCAAGACAATTTGCATTATATAGGCGCAAATGAACTACCAATACCCTGAAAAGTGTTCGTGCTCTTAGCTTATTGCTGCGGAGATACTACACAATTACGATAGTTTTGTAAATGATTGTCATAGGACCCCCTCAGGAGTATCAGAAAAACTAAATTTCGAATTTAAATTTCAAACATTTCATAGACGCAATCCTTAATGAAAGCAGTTTATTTTAAAAGCTTCTGATCATTTGATTTGCTTCTATCCAGAAATGTAAGTATAAAGTCTGCTGGTTATATCTGCATGGTGAAAACGCACACTATCACCATAGCTGTATCTTAGTTTAGAAACAACGACAAACATCTGAAAGACTCACAAAAAAAACTATTTTCGTTAACATCTGCCTCTATGCAAAGTGTGAAGTCAAAACTCGAAAATTACTTTTTCTTGTGTTCTTGAGAAGGCTTTGGCATTAGAGGTGTAAGTCATCCAGCTGCGCCACCGTCGCCTCCGCCGCTGTGAAAAAGTTTGTTCAGCCGTTGCGCCGCCGCCACTAACATTTTTAGGAGCAAAAACGTTTTTTTTTGTTTTTTTGGTTGTCAAAGCCGCCGCCGGTGCAGAAAAACATAAAGTATAGTAGCCGCCGCCGTCGGTGTAGAAAAGCATAGAGTCTAGTAGGCGCCGCCGCCATGGAAAAAAATTCGACCATTAAAACAGCCGCCGCCGTTTGACCCTTCGGCTTACACCTCTATATGGCATTCATTTACAGAACTATCGTAAATTTGCAGTATCATGGCAGAAATAAGCTAAGGACGCCAACTCTTTTCAGGGTGTTCATAGTTTATTTGGATCTACATAATGAGCATAGTCTCGATTCAAAAGCGATCTATCAATTGGAAGACTTTCTTTGCAAGGTGTCTACCATTATTTTTCGGGAGGTGCAAATTTCTGTCCTGTATATTACAACTTCTGTTGGATAAAAAAAACTTAATTTCTTACACGTTCTTCAAAAAATGATCGTCGTTGAGCCATATTCGTTGATAAAATGCATGTTGAATCCCTATCAGTTTTTTCTGTTAATCGAGTTGAAACTATTTTTTCATCTAATATCCATCGATCACGTGCTTCTTGGCGTATTCTATTCAATGTTTCTTTCCATTCTTTACTTTGTTCAATAGAATGAATACCATTTTGAAAATTGAAATCTTTTGTAAGATTTACAATAGATAAAACACCATCAAGCATTGAAACACTCAATAATTGATAATTTGACCAATCTGAAGTATCACTTAACGAAGATAATTCATCATAATAAATTTTCTCTGTGCTTGTCATTTCAATAACAGGTAAATTTCGAATATCAACTAAACAATTTTTATGCGGAGAATTTGAGAAAATATTAAGAACATAAGAAAAACGAATATAAGGAACATAATAATTATCATTAAACAATCTATTTAAAAGAAAACCAGATTGTTTGAAGATCAAATTATATGCAACAATAACTTACCGATAGATAATCGGCATTTGATGATCGAAAAAAATAACAATACCATAATGTTTTTTTGTTGAAGGAAAATCAACGGTACGTATCTCTTGTTTTGAACGAGTAAGTGAAGGTGTAGAATGAAAAACTGGAAAATCAAACATATTTTTTTGATGATCATTTATTGAACTCATACCATTATTAAAAAAATCAAAACCATCATCAATATCCATGATTATATTGTAATCAACTAAAAGTAAAATAAAAATATTCGAAAATTTAAACATCGATATCTCGAATACATTGTTCTATGTACATGACTGATCTAATACGAAAGAAAAAAAAAACTAATCACGAGATTATACATATACGACGATAGAATTGATGATTCATGAAAATTCATCTATTCAGTTTTCGCTTAAATCTTTACTACAGATGTTGCTCATTATCAAGTCAAATGTATATGAGACAAAATTAGATTTATTACAACTATTCTAAAATGTATGTGATAAGTATAAATATACATATCAACTTTTCAACATATTAGAATATTTTTACTGAATTCTGATGTTGTAGTAGACTAGAAAGAAAATGTTTCGATTTACTTAATGTATTCATTATTAGATTACGTGAACAATATCACAACAATATCTAATGGAGAAACAATTTTATGAAAATATTTCTGTTTTTTTTTACGACAGCTTGGATTAATAGATAGATCGAGAATAAAGAAAAAAAAATCAATAAAAAAGTTAAGAATACTTTCTTGGCAACTAGCGACAACTACTGATAATTTTAAGCAGTATACCATAGCTATGGTATTATACGGATCGATAAAATTTTGTATTTTTTTTCCATATAGTGGATAGTACTAATAAAACCGTTAATATTGTTATTTTGATATCTGATGTTTCAGATGTAAATCATCGCGATTAATGTATTTAAGAGAATACTATATGCATAAAACGAGTTTAGACAAAATGATCCAATATTTGATATTGCCAATCCGATTTGTTGTATTTACTATTTTCTTGTCTAATTTTTCTAGATATAAATTATGCCTCAAAAATTTCGTTGTGGTCGTTTAGTTTTAGCTCGAAATGGAGCCGCAAAAAAGCTTCATCTTTCACGTGGTGGTGGTACTCGTGATTGTAAATTAAGTCATATTGATATGGGCTTTGAGGAAATTCATGATAAACTTCGTGATATTTTTGCATTAAGTAACATAAATAAATGTAATTGTTAATATTTTTATTTTCATTTTTTAATTTATATCATAGATGGAACTAATCGTGTTTCAATATTATATGATTTTCAACGTAAGAAATTAGATACTAAACGATATCCAAATTTTTATGAATATGTCAGCAAAAATGGTTTAAAATTCAATGGTACTTTATTATATTTATGTACTACTGCAGGTTAAAAATGAAAACATTTATTTTGATAATGATTTATTTTAATTATTTTTTTTAAACAGCAAATGAACGTACTACTAATTCCACATCATCTGAACAAAGAACAACAACAACACAAAATCAACCTCAAGTACAACAAAAGTAAAAAAAAAGAAATTTTATAATTAATTGAAAATTAGTTTGTTTTAAAATAAAATAGAACTCTTCGTGTTGAACCTGATTCTTGTAGATCATCAGTTGTAATTAAAATTGATGATGATGATGCCCAACACAATAATAGTTTAACTAATCAGTATAAGATTGTTTTTTTTTTGAATAAAGACAAAGTCTTCTTTTTCTTCTTCTTTTTTCAGAGTTCCATCTATGAATCCTTTAGCCGAAAATCTTCGAATATTTTTATCAACATCATTTTCAAATTATTCATTTGATAAATCGTTAAACGAATTTGTTGATTATTTACTTCATTTAGTTACTCAATATAAGCATGAGAATATATTTCTTCAAATATTCGAATTGATCTGTGATATTCGTGGTCGTTCATCGAATAATTTAGATCGATTAAAAAAACAAGTTCAATTAATAGATGATAAACAAATATTTGATGATATATTTGATAAAGTTGAAAAATCATCTCGATTAGTTAAATCATTAATAGAATTAAATAAAATTAAAATGTCTCATATTGATCCACATTCAATAATTATTGATGCATTTAATCAATTTCATCGAAATTTCAACGTAAGAAATTTGAATTATGACAGTTTTCATAGGTTTCTCATGATTTCAATTTTAAAATCTATAATAAAAGATCGTCAAAAAATGTCGACTCTTGATTATAAATTAACGCTATCTATATGAATAAATCGGTGCTCATATATAATACAAGTTTGTCTTATTTATTCGTTTTGATATCAATTGAAAGTCTTTTAGTCAAAAACTAGTCGTCAAATTGAAAATGGCGGCATCGATGCAACACGATCGTCGAACACCTATGAAACAAAAATCAGTTGTTTCAAGTTATGGTCCTGGAAACTCTTTATATTCCACGACTGAATCTTTAACTGGTCAAGATATTGAAAATTATTTTCGTATTGGTTCAACTCGACCAAATTCTGCAACAAATTCTATTGCTAACTCAACATCAAATATAAATGAACGTAAAACAGTTCAATATCTTCGTCCAACATCATTTGAACAACAACAAAAAGAAGTTCAACATTTGAATAAAAGTAAACTCGATATTATTCCGTATTGTAACATTTCATGAAAAGTAATTTTTTTTCCATTTATAATAAAACTAATTTAAAATTTTGTTCTTGTTTTGTCAAGAAAACAATTATTACCAATTGACCAAAAAGCTTATGCTCGGGATTTTCAACAAAGATATGATAATGAATTTTTACAAGTAAAACAACAAATACTTCATACTATTTATCATTTGATCTTATCAATACATCTAAACTAAACGAGTTCACGTATATGAATCTCTTTTTCAAAGTTATGACAGTTTCAATGAAACTGTCGATAAATGTTCCTTAGCAGAGTTGGGCTCGGTTCGATTTTTTTCAAAATTTAAACCGAACAGAAGTCAAGATCGGTTTGAACAGTTACGAACCTAATCGTGTCCATCTCTGCTCGTTAGAATATCTCAAATATTTCTTCTTTGAGATATTCAACGTTCAAATATTGACTTTTTTTCAATATTACCTGTTTCACGGATCACAGCGTTCGTCACGTTTTCAGCGAAGGAGTGCTTCATAAAAGGACATCTTCTATGTTGTTGATCGGGACGCTGCAATGTATGTCATTTCAAAAAAAAAACATATATTGTCCGTTTCGATTCAAAATTTTGAGAAATTCTAAAAGAGCACGTTTTGCATTGGTACGAACTAGTTTTGTTCTCATTCCTGTAGATTACATGGATTTATGTTATGTAGTTGTATCAAGGAGAACAAACTGATTTCTATCACTGAAAATCAGATTTTATCTGTTCACCACCACGGGTCAATAGAAATGAAGAGAAATCAAGGCTTTACTTTTAGTCTTGTAACGTGAGATTTCGAATAGTTTGCGCTAATTTTTAATCACTTCTAGTCATTAACGTGTGTTAATGATATCTGGTGACTTCTATCATATAATTCAGTGTGTTCCCGTTGACTTGTATTGATAATATGAAATGAGAATTGATGAAACGATAAAGTCAATATCTTTTTTAAATAAATTTTTTTTTCCTAGCGTTGGAATAAAGGTGTTTTGGGTGATAACGATGATGAAACAATGATTAGTAGTTCAACAAGTCAACAATTTTCAAGTACAATAGCTGGTTCATCGATAAATAATCATTTATCACGATTAAATATTAATCGAGATCAAGATTGAGAACATTTGTCTGACATTGAAGGACAAACAGATCCTAATGGTGTACCAAGTGAAGCCGATAAAAAAGAAATTCGACAAATATTTAGTATTTCCAATGCATTAGAAACATTTGATGATTATCAAGAAATAAAACAATGGATTAATCAAGATACAAGGGTATCGTGTTTATGCACAAAAAGATAAAATCTTATCAATAATAGAAACAAATGCAATAACAATTATTCAAGGAAATACTGGATCAGGAAAATCCACTCAAATACCTCAATATATCTTAGATGATTATGTAAAAAGTTCAAAACCAGTTAATATAGTTGTAACACAACCTCGACGTATTGCTGCTCGTTCACTATGTGAATATATATCACATTCACGTAATTGGCCTGTTGGACAAACTGTTGGTTATCAAACAAGTTTAAATAAATAATGTTGTGAATTAACAAGAATTTTATATTGTACAACTGGTGTTCTTTTACAAAGATTAATTTTAACAAAAACATTACAAGATTTTACACATATTATTCTTGATAAAGTGAATTCTAAAATTAAGTTTTTTTTTTTTTTAATTTTTCTTTTCTTTTTTGATTTAAGGTTCATGAACATGATCAATCAATGGATTTTCTATTAATATTAATTCGTACATTATGGCTTCGAAATTCTCAAAATGTTAAAATAGTTTTAATGTCAGCAACAATTGAAATTGAAAAAATTAGCTCATTATTTTCGTTAAGTTATTAATGGATAAATTCTTCCTGCTTATCAATTTCATGTTGGTGATCGACTTTTCGATGTTCAAGAAATGTATTTAGAACATATTCAAAATTATGGCCTTGTTAGTTTTTATTTTTAGTTTCATTTTCTCAATGAAAACATTTTATTTTAGTTACCAGATTTAAAATTAGGTGAAGCACGTTTATCTCGTGAAGCCATTGATCTTGCTGTTAAATTAATAAAAAGTTTTGATGATGAAGATAGTATGACTGGATGGGATCATACAAAAAATTTACCTATTAAACGTGCTACTGTACTTGTTTTTCTTCCTGGTTTACTTGAAATTCAANTTTTTTTTTCGTTTTGTACAACAGACAGAAAAGATAACACTTATATATAGCTGAATCTTGCACAATCTATACGAAATCCACACTTCATAAATCAACTAATATCGACATTCACAAAAATAATCTTGAGAAAAAGTTTTCGAAAAAAAAAAGGAAGTAATCAAACATTAAGAACATATATATTGCAATTTTACGCAAAATAGAAACTTAACAAGCATGATGCAACTACATATGCAAAACCATTGCATCATATTAATCTATGAAGATTACATATTCTTCCTTTAGAAACATATGACTGTCTTGTTATTAACAAATATAATTAAGTGTTGTAAGAATCTTCTATTATTGTTATTATGTCCTGTTACATGAGACTAGTATTTACAATAAAGCAAGACAATATTAATTAAGAAACTTATGAAATCAAAATCCTGCTTTGTTATTGATAATCAATGAAAACTAATATTTATTTACATATAATCCTGAAAAATGTATTTCTGTTGATTTAAAATATTTGTCTTATCGCCTTTCAACAATCCTTGATCTGACTAGTTCAATTTTAGTTTTTCAGAAAGAAAACACTTCAACATATACTTATTAACGAGTCTATTTTGACAATTAAACTTGAGAAAAATACGTGCATCTTAAGGTCAACAAAAGAAATACAAGGCACATGTTTTTGCTTGCTTTTATCATTGTTTCGATGCATTCAAGACGCACAAAAAAAAAATAGTTATTGCACAATAGCCGGCTAATACATGATGATATTTATTTATTTATTTATTTATTTATTTATTCACTTTTATGTAATAAAACAAAATGCTTAGTCATTTCATCATGTTGAAATTGATGATCTAAATCTAAATGATTTGCTAATACACTTAAACAACTTAAACTTAAATGTGCATGTTTTGTTATATAAGTATACCAATAAGATGATAGAGAAGGTAATATAGCATCAGGTTCAGTTTGTTCAAATTTCGTTTGATTTATATCATCATCATCGAAAATAATTGAATCAGATGGTGACGTAAAAAAACTTGAAAAATATTTTGATCGATTTCCTTTAATATAAGATTTATCATTTGTTGATAATTGATTTGATACATGATGTGTAGTTGTATGAATTATTGTTGGAGGTGAATCAAATTCAAGTTCTTCAATAATAACTCCAGCTAACCAATTCGTATGACATTTTAATGCATTTATATCTGATTTAATATGATCACCAAAATACATAATTATAGGATCTTTATTACTTATTTGACTCATAATTGAATGTAAATCTTCACTATTACCTAATGAATAAATATAATTTTTTTGAAAATCTTTGATTATTTCATCGATCGTAATTGGAATAATGTTGTTATCATCAATAAATCGATGAAATGATCGTTTATTTATATTATTAAAAAATGAAGGTTTTTTACAATCAACAATAATAAAATCAAATAAATTTTGCCAATCATTACCAAATGCATAAGTTGTTAATAAATTTGTATAATCAAAACGTGAATTTGTTGCTAAGAATAATTTTTTATTTGATTCTTTTAATTTTTCTAACCATTGTCGAACATCTAAACGTTTATAAATAAATTTATTTGGATTTTCACGTATTGATGAAAAATAATTTCCACGTTGAAAATCATTAAATAAATAATCAAATCCATTATTAAGATTACTTAGAAAAAAACTATATTTTTTCATTAAATCAATTTGATTTTTTGAAAATTTTTCATATAAATTTTCTTTATCAATTAAATCAACAATATTCGCTATTAAATATGATACACTATGTTCAAAATAAGTAAAAATACATAAATAACGTTTACTAGTATCTTCTTCAATATCTTGTAATGCATTTGGATAAATTTCTTTAATTTTTTCAGATGATAAATGTGTATTAACACCATGTAATGCTGTATGAACTAATCCATTCGAATCTAATTGAATTAAATTTCCATATAAACTATCATAAATTAAAGCTTTAACACCAAAATAATTATCATACGGTATTTCAAGTAAATGAGAATTGTATTTATACGTATCGACGAGATATTGACATAGTAATTGATAAATTAATGTGTGAAGTTCAAGTAAACGATAACGAATTAATGTATGATCTAAATCAAAACCTATCCAATCGCATGATGATAATGAAAAAGTTTTCATAGTTGAAGTCGAGGTCATTTCTTTTTGAATGTGTAGTTTGTGTGTAACTAAAAGAATAGAACAAATAAAATAAAAGAAAAACAAGGACAAGCTACAACACGTGGAAGATAGAAAAGCAATTTCTTTCTAATTCATATATAGAGACGAACGTAAACAGTGCAAACTGATTAGTTCCATTATATTGTGTTTTTGAATATTTTAGGAAATAATTTCATAGAAAATTCTCTAAGATACTTAGAAGTGTTATCGTGTAAGAAAAAATAATGAATACAAATTCATTGGAATTTCGAAGTCATAGACAATGACGCTAACCGTAATTTGTTGTGCGAACGATTGTCAATGCTCTTTGACGTACTGACAAAAGTTCTTGATCTTTCATTCTATGCTTTTTGTACAGAAGAGGAAAGCAATTATATACTATCAAAAAGATTATTCCATGCACAAAGCAAAACATATAATGTAATAATCAGAGTCAAAGAAGCGTGAGAATAATCAACAATTAGTTTTCTCTTCAGAATCAGCATACTAATTTCATTATTTTATTTGAATGAATTCGAAAGAGAACCACATTTTTATATTCTTACATATGACGTCTTTTGTATTCAATTAATTACTTGTTGTTTTAAGTAGCTGAAAATCGAAAACAAATCGCGCGAGTAAAGCATAAAGGGGAGTAGTGAAGGTTTTATGTGTACGAGTAGCAGTAGTAGTAAAAGCCATTTAGAAAGATATGATCCAGAAGAATTCGAAAATTTTTTATTTTTTATCAACTTAAAGAGGACATAAATATCATTTCGATTTATTTGATTTTTTTTCTATTTTATGTTTATTGCAATACACATGTATAGTATTGAAATTCTAAATAATAAATCACCTTTCTACAACTATAAGTTCGTTTTTTTCTTAAAAAAATACAATAAAATTTATTAAAATTAACATGAGTTTGTATTATCGAAATTTTATAAAAAGATCATTTGTATAATTTTGACCGAAATGCTATGTTGTTAATATATCTTTTTAATTAACTAAGATCTGATGAACATTATTTGAATAAATATTTGTTTAATATACATCAAAATATTATTATGATTTTTGTTCTCTTTTGATAAGCGCCATTTAGATAGTAGTTTACTCTTATCATTAAAAGATCCTTCATAAATGTTTCACATTGTATTGAAACCGAAAACTTATTTTTACTGTTTAACACCTTGTTATCATTATTTGAGTTGCAAACTTAATCGTGTTCAGTCAAATACTATACAGTCACAGAGATAGATAATTCCAATTTCGAGTTGGAAATGAATATATTTTTTTATCAACTTCGATTAAATATCTGTTAGCTTGACAACTTCTAAAGTGAAATTGAAAAGATTCGACAGTCAAACATTTCTTAAAAAATTAGTTACAAAAGGAATTAACTTTTAAACATGAGATCGTGTAATGCATACATTTTTTTTACAGTCACAGTTAGAGTAGGATTATAATTAGAAAACATAGATGAAGTTTCAGTGGAATTGCAATGCAATTTGAAAAATACACATGAAGTTAAAGTAGCATGTAGACGAAAATAGTCTATCCTTCTGTGTATGACCATTCTATTGACAAGTCAAAAATGATTTATAATTGTTTGTGCTTTTATTATTGAAATATTCTGAAAGTAAATAATTTTTTTGATTATTGAATTAAAATATTGTACACTTTTTGTTCGAAATTCTCCAATGAATTGTGATAGTGTGAATGAATTAAATTAAATAAAAACTGAATCTCAGAGCATATCAAGTTTGTTATAACATNACATCTTTCCCACCCCCACCCAAACTTTTGGGGGGGGATAGCCCCCCCCCCCCCCCCCCGCTAATCAGAAAGCCTGGTTCTTAAGATGCATCAGATAGATATTGCTTACTATTCGAACGTCCAAGAACAATTCTCAAGTAGTGAGAAACCAAAATGAATGAGACAGTGATTTGGTTTACACAAGAAAATGAAAAAAAAAAATTCATTAAAATTGTCATATGTAATTAGTCATTTGAGGAAAAAGTCAGTCTCTGACTGATCACTTGACTACTTCAGAAATAATCAAATTTTATATCTAACAACATTGCTTGGTCTTGGGCTTACAAAAAAGATAATTGCAAATTAATCAATGCTGTCATTTAGAAAATAAAAGTTTAAACATTTTCCATATTATATCTTGGAATTTATAATAAGTATTTTTTTTTAATAGGGGATATATTACATTCAGCAGTAAAAATTTCAAAATGAAGAAGTACAGTCAAAAAACAACATTAACATAACTTATTGTTGATCCGTTTCTAAAGCAATAACAAAGTCCCAGCATAATGAATCATTCGAACCAATGTTATTTACAGTAACATAATGTCCTCTGGAAGTGTTGAAAGACCTAGATACATCGATGGAAGATATCTTAATCATAACAAAAATTATGTGTATTTGTTTTCTATTACATCAGCAAATTAATACATAACTAAAATAATATTGTGAGCTGTCCCATTCGTTGTCACGTATTACTCAGCAGAATTAAAAGAGAAGGGAAAGAAAAAAAAATGTATGACGTGACATCATTATTAATATACGAATCTAAACGAAAATTCTCACCGAAAATGTAATTTACGAAGATTTCACTCACAATAGTCTTCAGCCAATCGGGACTATTTTTACACATACAAAAAACTCACTCAGTAATACTCAGTGTTCTATAATGCATTCAAGTAAACAACAACTCTGTACACATTTCGATAATTGACGATTATTTTTATCGTTCCAGAGTGTTTTCTTTTTTCATTTAAAGATATTAATGTAACAAACGATTTGATCATATCTTAACAAACTTGGTATACTTGAGAATGGCTAGCAATTATAAAAAGAGAGACTCTTCAATATTTATAATAAATCTGATAAGGCAGTTTTCAAGCCTGTGAAAAATAAAGTTTATTTGAAAGATGACTCTATATTGTCATGATGATATAAGCATTTATTTATACATACATACTAAAATTTCTATGTTTATTCCTAGTAAATACTTTTAACTCTAATCTTATCAACAGAAAAAAGAGAAAGTATAAAGATGCAAGGACTTTAAACTGAAGAAGACAATCATTGAGTAATAAATCACTTGGGGTTACTCACTTTATCATGAAATTTAACGTCATTACTTCCTTTTTGTTGTTACTTATCTAAATTGACTATTTTTGAAGAATAAAAGTTTGAAAATGTACTATGATTAAAAATTTTTGCCGTATACAAAAATTTGTATCCGTATAGATGACTATTATGAATTACTGATTTCGATTATATATAGTTCGAATAAGTCAATATCAATCTGAATATCTTATTAATTCATTAGTACTAGTTAAAGAAAAAAAAATTCTAATTGATCCAAAGTAAAGTTCCATTATTATTGATATAAAATAAAAATCTTGTTATTCTTATCTTCATAGAAAAAAAAGACGAACAGCTGTTTGGAGAATTTAATATATTCAATTTTTTTTTGTTTCATTTGCATCTTTCTTTTAAATCAACTTAAAAGAAGAATCGATACTTTAATAACTGTCTGACCCATTTCGATGTCGAGCTATACTTTGTTATTTGTGTTTTTGAGGTCAACAGTCTTTGATAAAAAAAATATTGATTCTTGTGTGTGTAATCAAAATTGTGTTAATTATTTTCAATATGATTCACAAGAATTTATTGTAGATGAGTAAATTTTTTTTTTTAAAGTCCTGGTTTATTAATTATATAAGAGTGAAAAAAAGAGCAAATCAATGAATAATGTCTCGTTATGATGTAAGATACAATATTAAGGTATATGTAATATTGTTTATGACTCAAGTATCACTTGACATTCATAAAGGTTATTAATAATAAAATCGAATGATTATCAATAAATTGAGAATAACAAATATAAAATAATGAAATTTGCTTTTAATAAAATATTCATTTGATATTTGTTAAAACCACAATCTATTTTTGATTTTCTTTCTATCCAATATTATATAAGATTTAGATACCAACGCATGTATTTGACGACTTAGAATAGTGAAAAAAACAAGAATTTCATTACTATTCCATTAAAAAAATATAATGTCGTATCTGACACACACGAACATACATACATCGGATAATTTGAAAAGAAAAGAAAAGTAACAAAAAAAAGAAATGAACAAGTTTTAATGCATAGTTGGTGTTATCATCTGTTCATAACGTGTTAACTGAGTAAGAAAACCTAAATTTGGATTAATTATTTTTCTTTTTTCTTTAACAATTGAATAGGCTTGATCAAATGTTTTTGAATGATATTTCATTAAATAACCAATAATAAATGATGGACTACGACTGATTCCACCTTGACAATGAATAAGAATATTTTGATTTAATAATAATTTTTCTTGTATATATTCAAATGTTTTATCGAAATATTGAATAATATTTTCTTTACATAAATCATTGCAAGGTAATTTATAATAGTCAAATAATGTTTCATTTTCATAATAACATGGAATTGATGTTGAAATATTAATTATTGATTTAATATTATTTTGTTTTAATAAATTCATATCTTCTGCATCATGTGCATTACCAAGATAAAGACCGGGTAGTACTTCGGACATTACATAAGATTCAATATCTGTTGTTAGAAGACATGATAAATTATCATTATAAGTAGAATTTGATGAACAAATATAACAAAATGTTGGATAATGTTGATAAAATTCTTCAAATGATGATTGAAGTATATAAATTGTTTTATTTGAATCATATTGTTTTAATTCATTTAATATACATTTAATGACTGGTGAAATTTCTTTTGATATTGTTGAATTTGAACATGAGGATGAAGATTGATGAATTGAATCATCATAAAGAATAATAATTTCAGATTGATTTAAACGATTTAATTGATTTTCATCAAGAAAATTCTTTAAACCACGATTTATTAAACGTTTTTTGGATAATTTGTCATTAATATTTAATAAAAATGAGTCTTTTATCCGACATTCATTATATCGTAATGGTAAACCACAATCGATAATTAATAATTTTTCATTTTGCATATTAATTACGGATGCCATATAGGCTGATAATTGAGCGGAAGTTAAATACATGGAAGAATTATTTTTTTGTTGTTGGTCATTTTCATTATTATTATCGATTATAAGTTTTTGTTGACAAACAAGCATATTTTGAGTTGTTGTTGTTAGTCGAGGTACAATTGTCGATTGTGCATGTGATATATCATTTATATAAGTAACACTATTGCGACGTTGATGACTATTAGAAAACAAATCGTGTACGTTATTCTCGACGGACGAAAGAGAAGAAGAGGATAGTAGATGATGATTGTTGTTGCTGTTTGAGTCATTAAAAGGACATTCTATTGGTTAAAAGAAAAGAAAAAAGAATGCGTTAGATTAACTATGCAACATATGTCGGTGTTGAGAAAAAAAGAACACGATAGAATAATGTTGACAATATTATATGAGTACAATCATTCACCTCTACCGTGTGATTCTGCATGACGTAATTACCTGTTTTTGATCTTTTATTAGCATAAGTTTCATCATTACTCAGTTGTTCAACTGAAGAACGACATTCATTTTGTTCACTTAAAAGTCGCTTGCGACATCTTATGCACGGTATCATTGAGTCACAAGTTGCAGCACGAAGAAGCTTTCGAGAATATTTGATAGTTGACATTTCAGATGATGTTGGTTGTACAACACAAGTTGCCATAAATTTTAAAATAATGATCTAAAAAATCAGGAAATATTCTCATATTTACATATATATATAGATAAAAATTACGCAACATCTTTGCTCTTTTTCTTCCTCCTACCAAAACAACAAAAGATTATTCATATTTTTTTTACTAATGTTAGCAAACACTTACAACAAAAGAAAAAGCTTGACAAATCATTAGTTCTCTTGCTTATATATGTACGTTAGTATAAAGACCGAAAAGAGCAACCACACAGCGTGTAATACGATCTTGAAAAATTTGACTCATATGGGACGAATAAGAACGTGTTATTGACTCTTATCTATTACTTGAAAAACAGAAAAAAAAAAAAAAAAGGTATACTTAATGTAAAAGCGTCAAGCTGTCAATTCTACTTTTATACTTTTATTTTCATTTTCGGACGTCATTATTTCATGCAAATATGACAAACTATGTTCTTCCTACTTACTAAATCATGACAGAATCGGAAATAATCACATTAGTAAAGTAATATACATGAATTCTTTTTTTTTTTTTACATTGTGACTTATGAAATCTTGTATCGAATGACAACAAAAAAAAAATCAGACATGCTGTAATGAAGTTAATGCAAAAGAAAGAATGAATTGTTTTTTAAGTTTTTCTTGTAGACAGAAAATATTGACAAAAAAAAATTTTTTTTTCTTTTAGAGTCATCTTAATTACATACAGTAATTTATATTATGGTTAAAGAATATTTTACCTGACAACATCAGATTAATCTATATTGATAAAAAAAAAAAACAAATTGACGTAAATTGTATTCATGCAAAAAAATTATCAATCGTTTCTTATCTTTAATTTGGCTTACAAGTCATTTCTTATTTTTTTTAAATTTAATAATGTCATCATTACTCATTAAAATTTTATTGAATTTAGATGAGTTATACTTCTTCAGTTTAGAACTGCTTTAAACCTAAACGAAAACCAAATATTTGGAGAAGTTTCAATGTGTTAAGACAATTGATCTTTATATATATATTTTTTTTTTCGAGAATATTTTTCTTATTTTACAAATAATTTAATCAAAATACCGCTATATTGTAGTGTACATATTTGTAATACTGCTTTCGTTCGACTTCATACATGATATTATGTATAGTACGAAAAAAAAGTTCGAAATACTTACAGAAATAAATGAGTATAAGTTAGAAATGATACTTTGTATTTGAGATTGACTATCAGTAAGTATCGCGTCCATATCACCAGCTTAGTTTTTATCCTAATGATATAAATCTTACACTAAAAATTCCTACGAATAGTCTATGAAAACAATATGATGTTTATTTCATCTGAAATTGATGCGCGACGTTTTGAATTTCTTATGTATTATGTTATTGCATCACTCAATAGTAATATTGTTCTATAGAAAAATGTCTCAAGAACCTTTTAAGTTAAACGATAGGTATTGTAAAAGCTCGACGTTAATTTTATTTTCAGTGTAACGTGACAACAACTCATTACAGAACACAATAAAAATATTTTGTTCAGTATACTTACCGAACGTTAAAAATTCTCTGCACACTTCTGAAATTTAGAAAAAAATCTCTATTCACTAAAAGTGTTGATCTCATTTTTCGTCTTATATTGGGTTTTTACAGTGATTACGATAGGATATTATAAATATGTAAAAGTAAAATTTTCAAGTTATTGATTGAATTCGAAATTGAAAGGTTTCTAACGCTCTTTGCTAGAGAAAAGTGTTCATAACTAATAAGTAATTTCAAAAAATAAGATTTTCTTCCAGCAATCGAAGTTAATGAAACCTCATATTTTATGTCCGATGAGAATTTAGGGTGTGAGCAAGAGACTTCTCTCTTCCTGATTCATTCATACTTACATCCATAGGATTTTCTTAGTTTCACTGATGCCTGCCTATGACCAAAAGATGAAGCCGAAAGCTTAGAATCAGTTAGGGTGTTTCTCTCATAAGTTCGAAAAGATAATGAATACCATGCTTCTTGCATTTGTCCTTATTTCAAGAGAAGAATGTATCTTTGATTAAAAATAACTAAGTTATATATGCAATGCTTGCCATTTGTTTTCTACTTGATATGAGTAACTTCGTAATTGAGTAAGCATTTCTACACGAATGAATTTAATTTATTCGATTCATTCTTCTTACCAATCGTTATTGGTCAGTTTTAATATCGAATTGCTATGAAGTATTACTAGAAAACTAAACAAAATCTATTTAATGAAAAATATGATCTAGAATCGATGTGATTAAAAAAAAATGATGAAACAGATTAATAAATATTAACATTGTGTTTTCAAAATATTTCTAATAAATTCAATAGGGAAGAAAAAACGAAGATAATTACTTTTGACAAAGTGAATGAATTTAAAACGTTAGGTTAATGTATATTTCTCAGAAACAATAACATATATATAGTTAAAATTAACAATTCTAATGTTTCTTCATACACGATAATCAGCTGAAATTTTCAAGCATAAATTTTTATCAAATAATTCATATAAAATAATTAATTGAGGAGTTCAAGAGAAGTTAAATTTATCCTATTTCTCTTTATGATGTCTCAGGCTACTATGAATTATCGTAAATTTAACTTGTTTTACTCTCTTTAGTTTCTTCTCTTCTTTTACTCCCATTAAACTCTTTAGTCCATTTGGCACGTGAGTGTGGATGAGGGCAAGATCTCTATTCCACTCACACCCTCATTCCATCCGTACGATTAAACATAAGCCAATATCACCGTAGCACTAACTTTAACTGGTGATGGAATGTAAATAGAGGAAGGATTAGTTTGTTGGTAGATAAACTGTACCATAATCTGTCACGATCTACTGGGCATTTGTTACGGTGATGTTACTGAAGTAAAGTAGCATTGTTTACAAAGCATAGTTCGTGGTATTAATTATCACGATAATAGTATCAACAGAATCATTGGTCCAAAGTGAATATGATGAAACACCACATCCGCAAAGACTTGTATAAATCTAAAGAACTGATGAAAATTATCGATCTGAAACTAAACGTATGTGCATAAGAGAAATGTTGGTGCGTTGACCTATTTCGTATCAGCACGTCCAATCCGTTACAGATTAGTGATTCAGTCTAGAACAGATTAACGGATCGTGTTTTTCTCGTTTCTTGATACTCGTGTATTTGATTTGCCTAAAAGTTTACCATGCATTGCATTGTTGAACAAAGCTTCCTCTATCTAATAGCGTATGCATTTTCAAGTTCTATTCGGTACCGTTGATCTTTCAATAGATCATACCATTCTGATCATTTTACACTAAAAGAAAAATTTTCAATAGTTCAAAAGCTGAACGTTTGAAGAATAATGATCATTTATTGAAACATACTTTACAACTAGGATATAGATGATGTGTTCTTTGCATAATGTAAATTCTAACTCGATCAAAATATTGTTCTTATCGTCATGTGTATTTCACCTTTTCAGTGTATAAGACGAAAAAATGAAGGATTTCTTTTGTGTTGTCTTCATTTTTCAATCTATCTTTACAAGTTTCTCCAGAATAATAAAGTTCACTTGAAAATTATTAGAAAACACTTTAAATTGCAATCTATTGATTCTTTTTTATGGTTATATAATGCAAAAGTAAAATAGCTATACTCTTTACTTCTTTGATAATAAAAATAAGTCTAAAGCTACAAAATACTAAGAATACAAAATCAATGATCTTATATGTAGATATATAATTAAAACATCATGGTATTATATAGATTAAACGTATAAAATCTTTTCGTTTTACTCTTGTTTAACAAGGATCAAACTATCATTATATTAATACGAAATTTAAAACATGGTAAGACAAATATTTTATTTTTATATATTGATAAGATAATATTTTTTCTTGCATTTCTTCTTAGCTTAATTCTGTCTTTGTCAAAATCTGACAAAGCATATTTTATTTTATCAAATTGTCATTCTGACTCCACAAATAAAATGTTTATACACAAAATTTCTAGGTTCTGGTAAAAACATAGAAAAATATAAGGCTCTACCGAATAACATTTTGTATGTCACAAACATTTAAGTCTTTTAACAATATGATTAACACTTTTCCATGTTTAGATTTTGACTACGTCATTTTATATTAATATAGAAAAAATATTATAACAGAAAATTTAAATGTTTTCTTTTTCTATAAAGCAATACAGCTATTGTAAGGGTAAGATTCGTGTGAATAACCTATACAGGAATATAAATATGATTTTTGATCGATTTATCAGATCCGTAATAACCAAATATATAGATTCTAACCGAGATCTTCAGTTTTTATTTTAATTCAATGCTCGAAAGAATCAAATTCTTAACTGTAGAGTTAGCGTGATTTTATCTAGTATGATATAATCATGGTAAACATGTGTTTACTAATACGTATTTGACTGGATGATGAAAATCTGATGATGAGATTGTTTTTTAAATGTAGAAAGTTATTGCAAAACTCAAATTATGAAATGAAAATGCTACAGATTAAAGTAAATCAATACAATGAAAACTAATATTTAATCAATGATTTCGATAGATTCTTGAAGATAATAAATCTAGTGACGCACAACAAAATTATTGATATCATTTGTTGATTTAGTTTATGATGAATAATCAGTATTTGTCTTCGAATATCAGAAAATGCTAAGAAACTAAACAAAGATAAATATCAGAACAACATCTGTCAAAACTGGATGATAGAAAAATGAGTAATAGCGAACAAATATTAGATTATATTGAAAATAACTCAATCATCATCAAAGTTCAAGATAAATAGTAAATGAAATACTATGAGTAATACAGAAACAAATAAATATAATTATAAGATATTGGTTTGATCCCTATATACTGATCTATTTTAAAATTCATTGATGACTAATTAATAAGTATTGATTCTCTACAATGACAAATGAAACAAATGCAGATGATTGATTCATTAATATTCTTAATTTACACTAGAGTCAACAATTATTTGAAGTTTCACATTTATA